AAAATTAATTAATATTAATAAACAGCGTATTTCAAGAGCACATCAATTTTAGTAACCACTAAATTATAATAACGAAAAGCTGTAGTCATTTATATGATATGCAAATATCAATACGATTAATGATATTTGGATTTCTATCCATTATATCATTGCTCGAGTCATTCGTCATTACATTTTTCACAATTTCGCCGTATATTTCACTTTAATATCTGTAAATCACAAATAAATTGAAATCACTATTTCATTGAGTGTTCAGTTATTGCAACGCTTGTTATCTAAACGCTTGCATCGCATCCCAAATACCCAATTGTTATTAACCATTGAATTGAGTGATGATCTCATTTAACAAGAGTTTCATTAAATATGTTAAAGTGATTGAAGGAGAGAGGGATTCAATCGGTTCGGCGTCTGATTTACGCGATTCAGAGGAAACGCCAGACGACGGCATCGATGAGGACGAGGACGAAGACTTCGCTCAAGAGGTGACTGCGATCGAGATTAAGCTGAAGGAGCCGTCGTCTTCGAGAGCGCCCAAACCAAAGCCTACTTTGATATCCAGTGACGACCTCCTGATCGGTCACATCGACGGCGAAAAGCCGTTGCTCTGCGACGAAGAGGACGAGACGTCGCCGCGAGTGATACATATGACAGGCGGCGGTTCAGGTGGTCATCACATGCCCTCTTTGTCCTCACTTTCCAACGATGTGTTCGCTTCGGCGCCGTTCAGAAAACCCCACACAAAGGCCAGGAAAAAGAGCGATAAGATTGATATGGAGTCCGAAGACATCCGATTGGTTGAGACGACAACGTCTGGCGACGAGATCGACGAAGAGGTGGCCAGAAATCTGAGGGCACAAGTGGTGAAGGACTCGATGGTCGGTCCCAAAGATCTGTTCGGTTCTAAACCATTCACTGAACAACAATTAGTTACTGTATGTCTTAATCTTATGACCATTTTTGTCTCATTTGTCACATGTGTTTAATAATTAAATTGATTTCTAATTGTTTTCAGTGCGAAGAACAACACCAAAGCCATCAAAGCTTGCAATACTATAGCGAACAACAGATTCAACCGCAACAACAAACCACTTCGTTATCTCAAAAGCCACTCAATGCTGAACAACAGTTCCCGAGAATTATTCCACAACACTATCAGCAAAGTTTCGACGACAATAGCGAACAACAGAAACAACAACTTCTTAAGACACAACAACAGCCACTACCACAACAACAACAACCGCCGCCTCCGTTACAAGAACTTTCACAGCCATCGCAGGACCTCTTCGGCGCCATTCCATTCTCGAGTAACTCCAAGACATCTCAAGTGATAGCACCGCTGCCGCCGCCCAATGCGGTGATAGCGCTGAGGCCGACAGTTCCGCCGAAGACAAGCAAAGTGTTGTCCTCTGCGGCCACTTCTCCGCCTAAGAAAGTGATCGTTCACTCGACGGCAATGGCGTCGATACCGACCCAATCGTCGGCCGAGTCGTCGACAATGTCTCCGCCGTCGCCCATAAAACCCGTTAAACCACTCCTCAAATTGAAGCCAAAGTCAAAAGCGTTGTCCAAAACGGCGAAGAAGTATGAGGTGGAGGACGACGACGACGAGATCGATGGCCTCATCAGTTGCGAGAACGACGAGGAATTGGTCGACACCAAGAAGTCGCGTAAGAAAGATAAAAAGGTATTGTGTTTACCATTTTATTAATATCATTAAAGTTTTTGTTTGATTTTTTTATTTATTGATTTTTGTCTCAATTGTAGGAGAAATCCGAAAAGAAGGAGAAGACGAAAGAGAAGAGCGAGAAATCGAAAGACAAATCGGAAAAAGTGAAAGAAAAGGAGAAAACAAAGGATAAAAGCAAGAAATCTAAGGATAAAGATAAGGATAAGTCGAGACATCAGGCGTTCGCTAACATGTCGTTCGAAGACGTGACCGACGATACTGTGGACACACTGAAGACCTATCATCACCACCAACAGCACCAGACAATGGCCAAAGTCGGCAAATAGTTGTACTTTAGGTTTAGTCTCTCTCTCTCTTCTCGATCTTAATCTCAACACAAATATTCAAATTATTAAATAGTATTTTAATTTATATAAAATTATTACAAAAACTAGTTTATAAAAATATAAATTGATATTTTGTGCCCAAAATATTGACTCATATTTAAAAAATAATTTTTTTGGATTATTTAACGATAATTTGTTGTGAATTATTGACAATAAGTTAATTAAAAATCGTTATGAAATGCGAGACAATGGATAAGAGATTAGCGGATAATTAGGTTTTAAATTAAAGCAAAGCTCTATCAATGGATTTATACATAAAAGTCATTATTAAATATGAAATATATTTATAATTATTACAGCAAATTTAAAACACGAAATAAATTAAGGTTTTATTTTAATGTGAAATCAATTGGAAATAAGTAAAAGTCTTTTAAAGAATGAGCCGATGATTAGTGAAACAAAAATAAGTAAATAATTAATTAAAAAGTTGTTGTTTTGTTTATTTGTATGATATTATTATTATTATATAATTATTGTGTAAAAATTGACCCAAAGTTTAAAACTAATGAAATGTTACGAAAATTTATTATTGAAATATTGATTTTGAATGAAAACAAATTCATTGTCTTCTCATTTGCGCGACGAATGGTTAGCGACGACAAGAAAACGAGTGATTAAAATGCAAAGAATACTAACGATAAATAAATAAATATAAATATATTTTAATTTATATATAATTTTAATAATATATAGTTTTAAAACATAAGAAATCATGAGTTTTGACATAACATTAATACAAATTGTTTTTTATATATTTAATTGAATTTTTCTTTTTAATTGATAACTAGTTTTTAAAAATGGATAAACAATTGTGAAAAAATCTCATCAATTATTTCTTTAATTTTTAAGAATAATTGTAAATAATTTTAATTATTATTATTATATACAGAACACTGTATTATTGAATATTTATTATTATTATGATTATTAATATAATTGAATATATTCTGAAATTAATGTTAATTTAAAGAATGTATTACTGATAAGAATTATGGATTAGATTAATGAAATCAAATAAAAATCTATATTAAATTAAATGTTTATTATTATTTGCAAATAAATTGTTAATTCAATCAAATATTAATGCATTTTATTGTGTTGTTATTGCAAAACAACAAATCCTTTACG